CAGGATTTTGGAGACATTAAAGGCAACTGAGGGGTGAAAAGGGAAAGAAACACTGAAATCAACCGAGTTTGAACTGTAGGAAATTAAGTCCTCTCTTTGTTTCTCCCAGTGAATGATAAAATTGAGACACAAAAGGCAGGATTTGTTCCCATCTGAATTAAATCACCTTTGTAAAGAAGCTTGGACTGAAACCAGCTTGTCTTTAGGTTTGCAGTTATTACTACACGAGGTCCTAAATGTGTGGGTTTAGCATGAGGGAGGCACTAACACACATTAGGATATAAAGGTACTTGAGGAAGTACAAACACAGCATAAATCCACATTACCTGGACGATCAAATGAAGGTTTCCCATGAACCTGCACATCTGCTTTAGACTGTAATCTAAAAAATAATTAATGTGACAGAGGAGTACTTAACAAAAGTGCCATTTACACCTTCCTGGTTCTCTTCTCCCTTCAGATTCTCTGTCACTTGAGCATTTGGGGAGTGCGTTGGGTTTGGGGTTTCACCTAAAATTTCATGTCATAGAAGGTAAAATCACTATTTTTTTCCAGCTATAAAAGAGCATTATACTGCAGGTTTTCTGCCTCTAGTCCTCAGGCAATCTGCTATTTGTTTGCCCGGACATCACTTGGAAATCTAAGCAAGTTTGCTGAACTCATCTGCTCCCCCTGTGGACCCGACTCATGATTTTGGGCAGAGTGTCCTCTAGCGGTCACCCAATCCAACCCAACCTTCAAAAAATGGGTTGTAAAAGGCCAAACTATCAGCTTTAGCCTTTATCCAACAACTAGCAGCTGAGATCAGAGTGCTCCGTGTGAATATGACAGCTTTTACTTCCAATATGAGATGTCAAGGGCATTAGAAGCACATCCTCCATGTGCATCAGACAACGCGTGTTATGTTTAAGTCTTCTTCTGCAAGAACAACAACAAAAAAAATCCCTTCTAGGTTTATTTCTATTGCAGCAGGAGAGCTGGGCCAGGCCCCACTCAGGTTTCCTTACGTCTGGAATCGTATTTCAGCGCCCGGCTGTGCCACGGGGGCAGCTGCAGGAAGGATTGATGGGTATTTACCCACTACTTTGTAGGCATGGGATCTTCAGCCAAGCCAGCAGATTAACAGCAGCCATAGGGAATAATCTGAGTGCAAAAAGGCAAGTGCTGCAACCCCCACATTTACTTAGAAGCAGATCTTTCCTTGAACTTGAACCATACCTCTCCCACTTTGCTTATTTCCCCTTCGCGACAAATGGGATGATTGTGGGATGTTATGAAACACCAGCAATCCCAGTCCCCTTACTCTCACATTAACTTATCTGATTTTCCATCAACATGAAAAAATTGTTTAAAAAGGAGTGTGCAGCTCTGGGCAAGAACCAGAAATTAACTCCTGAGCAACTGGAATTAAAGTTAACCCTCGTGTTCCATGCTCCAGCATTTCCAGCCTCTTCTACACAGGCTTTTCAGACCTGTAGAATGCAAGGAAGTTTGGGGGTTTCTCTCGTGTGTTTCTCCCTCCCTCCCCCCCCCTTTGTTTTAACTATCAATTCTGTCCCAATAGAAAGACTTCCCTCAGGGGACCTACCCCCTCCCTACATCCCAGGGAATTGTGATGGTTTACGTTTTGCAATGAAGTGAACATAAACATTATCTGACAAATTTAATTTCCTCAATACCATTTCCATGACACATCCATGGCTTTCCAAAGCAGAAAAGGATTTTGTTTCAGCAAGCATCACGTGAAGGAAAACATTAACGTTGAACTAATCTCCTGTTATAGCTGGTAAAAGGACATTTATCATACACACAGATGACAGGAAGAAACACACAGACAGGCAATTATCCTATGGAATAAAGGTTAACAGATTCATTTAATTAGCAACAGCTGTATTTGCTGTTATGATCAGTTGCCTACCACAGCTGAAGCCAAAATATTATCCCCAGTACCAGAGAAATGAAAGCCTTGAACACACCTCTCAAAAATCTGCATTAATTAAGCACTGAAGCGGAGCCCAGGGGACAAGAGGGGAGCTGCAGGTCAGAATGCATGGAACAAACTCCTGACATGTTTGGTTTAGGCAATTCCTTGAAGTACAGAAATCAACTGAATCAACTCTGGGTATCTGTTGTCCACAGGTTGATCAGCCAGGTAAGTGAATTCACTCTTTAACTGTTCTGATATACACTAAGTCCAGATCAGTTGTGTGTGTGCTGATTCCAAAAATCATCTTGCACAACTGCATTACATAAAGGTTTGGAACTCATCAGCTGGGCAGGTTTCTTTTGAGATTATATTCTGAGGAGTTCATCTAAAACTATGCACCTGCACCAAACGTTTTTTTTCTAGCGTTCTAGTGTTTTACCCTTCAATTATGGAAGTAAGTACTTACCTACAAAGTATTCTAATTACAACATGATGCAAAGCCATGTTAAGAAGGCTAAAAAGTCTTTACTGAATTTATTGATACAGAAACACTTATTAATAAAGTTTAAATTGTGTAACACTTCTGCATGCCTCAGGCCAATTTAACTCTAGTTTCGATACAGAGATTTTTCAACTTACACACTCATGATTAAAGCAGCCTGAAGTTCAGTTCTTTTCCAAATTTACTGCAGGATTGAAACCTAAAAGGAGTCACAATAAAAGTGATGACTACTTAGAACACAAAAGGAAACAAAGCAGGTACAATTCCTAGACAGCTTACAGACCATACAAACTCAGCTCTAATACAATTCCTCTACTAGAAATGCCTACAAAACTACAGTGCAAGTGCTTGTGCACAGGGAAAATGTATTTACAGTTCCCCCTTATTTACAGGCTATTAGCAATACTATTTCACAGTTATATTACACATAAAATTTCTACTATGTGTTTGTTTGGACCTGTGGTTTTTTTGGACAAGGGGACAATTTGACAACTTAGAACATAAATTTCCTGTATATATATATTTATTTATTTATTCAACTTCACCCAGGAAAAAAATAGCAGTATTTATGCATCTTATAGAAAGCTACAAAAATCTAGCAAATGTAATAAAAAAGGCAAATCTGGTGAAAAATCCAATAAATTATCTTTTACAACTGCGGCTGGGATGGGGAATAAAAATCAAACAGGGATAAATGAAAGACAATTCTCCCTCAACTGGTCAGCTCTAACAGAAGCTCAGGAAGGCTTACTAGTAAGAACCTGAAGTTTAATGTCATTTTTAAAGGAACTCTTTTAAAAGTTTAATAATTAAACCAAAGGATGGATGACCTGGTAGCCAAAAGCAGGAGGCACCCTGAACTACAGAGAGGTGTGGAAATTGTGCCATAATACACAAAGGCACCTGGTATGACACCTATTAAGCAGAAACATCTAACAAATACAGAGGCCACAGCCTTTGGGGGAGCACAGAGAATAATGACACATAGATTAAGCCTCTCTTTACCACCATATTCAGGATATTCATCTGTGGGAAGAAATCCATTGCAGTTGCCAGAATTACACGGTGGGTACGTGCACGTTTACAGGAAACCATCAGCTCAGTGGCCACAGAACTGCCCTGCTTAAATTAGAGAAATAAAAACCTGAGGGAGCAAGCTAATTTGGGGTGCCATTTAGACCAGAAGTGGAGACTTAGGAAACCAGAGGCAAAACACAGCCTGTGCCTGTGTTATGTGCCTGCAGGCACATGATACAGTATTAGGAGATGATATTGTCAAAGATACACAGAACTCCTATGAAGCAAGGAAGAGTTCTTCACTTCGGGCTCAGGCATACAAGAGTTATCCATTTATTTTCAAAGCCACACAAAACTTTGAAACACTATTTATCATGAAGCAAGTCGTGCAACTCGGGACCATTAACCGAAAACCCGGCGTATTTTTGGCAAGACTGTCTTTCTTTCATTGCTCCTCGGAGAACGAGGAGACAGCACATACACACCAAAAAAAAAAAAGATACCAAAGTGATACCAACTTTAGTGCTTCAGATGGGGCAATGCCTTAACACAGCTGCACCACCTACTGAGAGGGGGCCTTTCATCCCCCCCAGCTTTAGGAGTATTTCACATCAACACAAACTCAAGTTTCTTTCCAGCCTTTACCAGTTTAGGCAGATTTTTCAAACAGGCTGAGCCAAGTAAAACTCTTCTAAACATGGTATTTTTTTGTCCACGGACACTGTGGACTCCCCATCCCTGGAACTATTCAAGGCCAGGCTGGATGGGGATCTGAGTAACCTGGTCTAGTGGAAGGTGTCCCTGACCATGGCAGCGGGTTGGAACGAGATGGTCTTCAAGGTCCCTTCCAACCCAAACCATTCTGTGATTCTATAATTCCACGGTATCTCCTTCCACCACCACAACAGGAAGACTTGCAAACAAAAAATCAGAGCTCACACCCACAGAACTGCAGAGTGTCAAGTCCTTCCACATGAGCCTATTAAAACATGTCCTCGTTGTTGCAGGAATGAAATAACGCACCAAGCTGAGCAACCTGGTTGCACACACCACATGTGGAACTCGTGTGCATTAGCTGTATTCCAGTCAGCTCACCTTGCCATAGCAGGGGCACACACAGAACACCTAAAAACTGCACCAGTCTGGCTTTCTATACTGTTTCCAGGTTCTAGACACCCTCCAGAAAACTATATTGGGCTGATTTACCTCTCAGGCTGGCACCCTGCACTTCACTCTGTGATGATCACACTTATCTCATACGACAGCAAAACCCCACAGATTCTGCTTTCACAGTCAGTTTTCACAAACTCACTGCTCTGCAGCTCCTCTCTACCCTCTTCCCCATTCAGAATGACTCTGTAAACATTTCCAGAGACCACAGTCCCAGCTCTGACAACCCCTGCAACCTGTCAAAGTCAAGCAAGCTTTGCAATTCCTCACTTTGCCTCCATTGCTTTAAAAAATAAAAAAACAAAACAAAACAAAAAAAAACCCACAAAACAACCCCAACAACTCATGCACTAGAACAGGTGGTTCCCATTAAGAAAACCAGTATTCTGTAAAACACTTTAACTTTTTACTGAAAAATTATATAGAGTTTATAAGCAAAACAGAGCAACCAAAGTGGAGCTGATGCTTTCCTTCTCATTCAAAACCTGGATGCCACAAGGGTAATGCCAAAAATTTCTTTCCTTTCTGTAAAAGTTGTGCTTTTTCAGATGACTGGAAGAAACTAGATTGGCCAGGTCAGGTTTTACTAATAATCTTAACCGTCCATTAAACACACACCACAGCAAACCCATGGCAGGTTTAGTGGGAGAGAGCACAGACAGGAAAGGTCTTTGGGGAACTGCTTAAGAGTTTTTCAAAACTGACATTCAGTAGAGAAGCCATGAAATTTTTAAGAGTATCTCTGTGCAGTTAGTTTCAAGGGAATTAAATCCTCCTTTCCACAAGCAGCTGAGCATTTCACCGACTTGCTTCCTAAGGAATCCCTGCTGTAGGATAAAACTATAGCACACAACTGAGAAGGACAAAGAAACTCAAAAAAGCTATAATGTTGAAGTTTACAGCAGCCACATTCCCCAGCCTACTGCCCTGCGTGGTCACATTTGCAGGCAAGCAAGTGGTGTACATTTGTCAAGCCCTAAGAAGTACTTTATTTTCTGCCTAATTCCCACTCTCTAGAAGAAGGAAACTACTTCTCCCTGTAATAAAGCAAGTAATACTTCAAGGGATCGGGCAAAGGCAGACTCAAGACCTTTTCTCTCAAAAAGTTTACAGGAGGGTCTGGCTTTAGTTCAGAGGGTTTGGTTTCTTCCTCTTCCTGCCTCTCCTCCTCGATGTCCTCGCTGTTGTTGTTATCATCTGACGGGCTGGAGATCCGGCTGGCGAAGACCTCTTTGTCCAAGAAAACAATGGTCTCCATGCGCCGGCGACGGACACGCCTCCGTTTAAATCTCGGGGGGTTCTTCAGCCCATTCCCAGTTTTGCTCATCGTTTCCTGATGAATTATTTTCTTAATGGTTCCTCGGATGGCGATGCGAGCCAGGTCCTGCAGGCTGCGAACGGCCACGGGGGCTGGAACGAAACAAAACCCGTGAGCAGACGCGGAGAAACTCCACCCCCCCCTCCCAAAAGTACTCACAGGAAAAGTTCTGTTTGCTCAAATTAAATCAGGCCATTTGAAATCCCTGCTGCGATTACACAAACAGCTCTATTCAACTCCTGTCAACTCAGATAAACTGCACTGCAACTTTCCAAACAAAATTTAATTGCGCATTTGTCTCATTAAAAAATTTGCCCGTTTTGATCTCAAGTTCTCAATTATTTTAAGATACACATCTTAAAGATCATACGAATGCACACTTAGCAACCAGAACTGTGACTGTTTAATTACTTAGAAAAAGCTACTTTCCTACTGTAGCTTACTAGACATGAAGTTTATTTAACTCTTCCATAAAATGATTTTTCTGTTGAGCTGTTACTTCAGCTTTGCCAAGTTCTGTATTTATAAAACACAAGTACTATTTATGCTCTTCAAAAACTGCTTCAGACTTACTTAGTGGGAGAAGACAGGATGGAAACCATTTTGTAGAAGTAATTATAGAAGTGTACAATAAGTTACTGTACTGAAATATCTCCCACAGTAATGGTTTGGAAGACTGTCCTGTCTTCTGCACGTATTTGCTGCCAGCCCATAAATACATGACATAACTCATAGAGCACAAAGAAAAAAATGTATTAATACATTTTAGTTCATGAATGTGTGTGAACTAAAACTGAAACAAAAAATCCCTGTCTTCTACCAACAACTAAGCTTTCCTGGGACCTGAAGGAAGCAGAAAAAAATTACATCTAATATATGTGCAGGTCTCACTATAAAGCAACCTACATACAAAACATGCTGAAACATGCACTTAGTGACTTTCCAGCACAGTATGGATTGTTTCCCGAGCTCCTTTCTGTCATGCAGACACCTTTCCAGAATAAGACCAAAGCCTGACTAATCTCTTTATGAAGGTATCTCTGTCTTCAGAGGCTTCTCGACCCTGAAATCCTAATCTAGAGATTGAGGCCACTGATACAACCTGCACTTCAAAAAGCCAACCAAGAAGTGCACAACTTGTATTCCTCAAGCATTCCAGCTTCAGGATAATTCTGAATTGCTGTGGGATGAGAGCCTTTGAGTAGATATTTTATTCACAGGTCCTGTGTGTGTATTTCCCATTGAGAACCACGACAGGACATAATTCAGGACTGAATTGTCTGCACGTGCAAAACCAACAACCAAACATCCCTCAAAGTTCAAGTACAATTTCACAAGAAATCATTTGTATTTGGAATGATGTTGTAATGGAAGGTGTCCCTGCTCATGGCAGGGATTTGGAACCAGATGATCCCTTTAAGGTCCCTTCCTATCCAGGCCATTCTATGACTCCACAATTTAGAATCTATTTTATGCAACTCCCATTCTGGCACGAGACAGACAACTGTTCAAAAAGGAAGCACTTGGAGTAATTTTCCTTGAAAGGATTCCCAGGGATGTCACACAGCTCACAGCCAAACAGCAGAAGAAACCTCCCCCATGCTCAGGAATGTCTGTACTCACGCAAGTGAACAAGCCTTGATTTTCCTGAATCTGCGTGGTTTGGCTGAATCAAAGGAGCAAAAGAAACAGCAAGAATCTTCTTGGTCTCCCAGGCAGAAGGACCAGTACGAGTTATCTTAGTCAACTAAACCAAAACAAGGAGATTATTGTCCATTGTGTGAACTACAGTGAGATTTTTGTACAGAAAAAAATGAACAAATGACTTTTCTGTCTGAACAAGTGGTTAAAGTACTGGAAGCTACAACAGTAAAAGGTGATAAGGAGAAACACTGGTGGTTTTTTTTAAAAAAAATTAAAAAATAGGAACTTCTTGCAGGATTAGCCCCAAGTAACTCTTGCAACAGAGCAAGGGCACTGGCAGTTTGGGACACTGCTTTCCCCGAACTTCCTCCATTCTGGGCCAGAGCTGCTGTGTCTGATGCCTGAGAAAACTCAGTCACCGATGAACATTCACTCCTGAAGAGGTCTGCAGATCACTGGATTTATATTCCAGCTCCAATTTCTTGCATTAACTCACTGCACACCATTGTACTCGGAAGGAACCCTGCACCCTGCTCCTCTGTACCCTGACAGAGAGAAAAGGTCAGACACCTACACCTCAGCCCATTAAAACAACACATCTTTACACCAGAGAGATAAAATTGAATTGCAATCTTGAGCTCACACGTGGGGCTCTTGCCCACTTTTTACTAAAAGGCTCCATTGACACTTGTAAATAGAGACATCTTGCAGGCTCTTTCACAAACCAGTTGGGATATGCAAAATGTTGTATTTTGTCATCAAGCCCAACACTAGATTATGTAATTGAACAAAGCCTTGCTTACATTTTCTGCAGCATGGAAGTAAAACTGCAATTAACAGACTTCAATATATATTAAAAGACTGGTAGAACTATAAATTTCTTAAATATTATGAATGTGCAGAGTTCAGTTTCCACTCATAGTGAAAAACCAGTGCACTTAATGATTTCTTCAACCTCCTACAAGGGCAAGATAAAGGAACAGCTATTGACTAAATCAAGATCAGAATTAGGAATAACTGAAAGAGAAACAGGAGAAGAAAGGCACTCAACCTTCTCTTCCAGAGGCATGACAAGAATTCCCCCAACTTTCAAGAGGTTCTTCATGTAGTCCTCGTGTTCCTTCTGTACTCCAGCACCACAGTAAACACGGTCATACTGAGTGCAGTCCGGGGAAATCTCTAAACAATTGCCAGTAACAAAGGATGGCTCACAAAATTCAAATCTGAAAGTGAAGACGACTTGTATCAGACAAGAATAATACAATTTATCCAATGAGTTATCTTCAAAATTCTGAAAAAACTAAACTACAAAAGACACTTGAAAAAACCCCTCAGTTTTACAGGATTTCTCCTTCAAAGCCCACATATTCTAGACATTATTGTAACAGAACAGAGCTAGAAGTCTCAAAACCGCAGAACAATGAGGTCAGAATTCATGGATTAAACTCTCCAAAGGATAAGGATGCATAATTTCATACTTGAGATGCAGGGAACTCTTCAGAACAAGCTATTTTTAGTCACCTGATGCTGACTCAGTTATAATATGCAAATATAAATATTAGACCTCTGATTGCAGACAAAAAAGTCTTTTAAGGACTGCACCTGGGTTTATTGTTGCAGTTTCAAAAGCTGGCTTTCAGATGTGGGGAACTATCACCTGATGCTACAGAATTATGCTTTGCTGAAGCCAATGGAAGTTTTGCCATTAGCTTCAAAAGAACTGTGATTTTACCCTTCACAAAAAAAGGGACCTTTTGCCTACAGCATTTCTGACTCAGTGTAAAAGAAAAATGAATGATTCTGTGATGCTTCTGCTTTTCTTACGCGCTCCAAAACCACATCAATTTTAAGCCCTACATTTATGAAGTTGTACAACACATCCATTCTTCTACTGGTATCTTGAGTGGCAGCTCAATATAGCATCTATTTATTCCTAAACACTTCCTGAAGCTTTCTGGTTTTGCAAAGCGTGCTGGACATTCAGAGCAGCCAGTGAACAGTTCCTGCACACGGTGTTCCAACAGCACAACCCAGCAGACATCACTCAGCAATGCCAACTTTCCAGTCATGATGATTCCTGAATTCAGCTCACTTTTGCTCCATAGCTATATTTGTCTGGAGAGAGAAAAAAAGTCTTCCTTAAAACATCTATTTAAACAATAGCAATGTGACTCTGAAAAAAACACCCAGCCGAGCACCATCCACGCCAAAAACCGTCAGCCTGCTGCCAACATCCAGAAAATACAGCCCTCTCATCAGCAGCTTTCCAGTACAGCAGGAGCAGCACAAGGCTGAGTAGTCTAAAATCCAGCATGTAATGACTTTAATTTTCTTCCTCCCAGGAGAGGAGGATATCAGGTATCCACAGATGCTTCGCTTCCCCGTCTGAACAAACTGTGCAACGGATCCAAAAATATGACAGCTACAACTTTTACTGCTGAGGTTACTATTGGCAGTGGTTATCTTGCTGGAAAGTTATTACTTGTGACAGCAGCAAAATGGAGGTTCTAAGGAAGAACATCAATCAAATCCCAAGCAGTTTTAGTACCAACTTAATCATCTTAAAACTACCTCCTTATTTTAAAACGTCATTTTTCTTCTTTTCAGATAAAACATATTAGGCCACCACAGAAATCAGTTCATATTCTTCTCCTCACCGTGCACGCTCCCAGACCACAAAAAGAACAAGTATAGTTAATTGCAAGTTTCGAGCTGTTACTGCAAGTGCATTTCAAAACAAACAAACTTCCTCAGCTCCCTCTAAGCCCTGCAACATCAGCACGGCTATTGAAAACACAGCAAACACTTCAGAAACTCCCCCACAATACACATGGGCTTCGAAGGTCACACACTGCAGCTCAGCAAGCCTAAGGAGCCCGAATCCTCAGATTACCCTGAATCCAGAGGGGCCACATGGGAGCCAAGAACTGCCACGACTAAAGCCAAATGCACAAAATTAACCCCAACGGGCATTTTGCTCTCACTTGTCGAAGCTGTCGCTTGTTTTGATGAAGAAGTCCAATTTCTGCTTCGCGTATTCGATCACGTCCGAGTGAAGCTCCACGCCGTGGTTAACACCAAAGGGACCTGCAAATGTGGAACACCAGGATAAAGGTAACAGGCAACACCACGAAATCCAGCAGGATTAATACAGTTTGGGTTACTTCCTGGAACAGATTTTCCCCGTGAGTGTCAGACAGTCAGTGTTTGTGTAGGGTCAGCTCTCTTAGCACTACAATGGGAATTGCAACCCTATACCTGCAATTTCTGGCAGCAAATGAGCCTGTCTTGCACAATTGATTCTGACTCATTTGCTCTCAACTATGCAGGAAACTTCTCCATAGCAGGGAAGCACTGCTGCCGTTGCTGTAAAACCTGGAAAAAAAATTCCAAGGCAGAACAACTGCCTGCATGTTTTAATACATCCCTAAAAATTTTTCATATTATTTTTATACCCCCTTGTTGATATGACAAGGAATCAGGAAAAGTCATCATCCACTGTACTTCAATTAACAGCAAAAATAAACTGGGAGATACAGAAGTTGTTCTGCACTTGTGTTTTTTATTCAGAACTGACAGGGTAATTTTTGCAAAAATTCAAAAGAATATAAAAACCCTGGAGTTACATATTGGTATCCTTGGTAATCTCAACAAAACTAGGACAAAACCACAAATGGGAGATGGGAGCGAGACTCTACCCTGAGAACAAACACCTCAGCAGTTAAAATTCTTGACACCCACTAAAGGGAAGTTTGTACCCTACAGCCATTTGCTATCTATCCTGGCAGCACAGCTCTGACTGAGACACCCCAGGGTGAATGGAAAGGGCACAACTGCACTTGGGTGATTTGCTTTGTGTCACTGTAGATGTGGTCACAAAATCAGTTTTGCTGCACTCCGTGTTTTCCAGAGAATATTCCCACCCGTCTGCTAGTAAGTGTCAAAAGTGGACCTCAAACATGTCTCAGTCTAAACAGCACAGTGTGAACAGAAACAGGCACAGTGCAGGTGTAGTCACAGCTTTCTGTGGACATGCTTAATCCCGGTTTCAGCTTTGTACTCCTGATCCTGATCTGGGGTCATCTTTAGAAGGAAACTAACCCAAGTTCATGTTCCTGCAGGAATCCACTACAATCACCTCTGGAAATACATCTGTGCCTGTTCTGATCTGCCACAGAAATCTGGATCCCACCTGGTTCCAGAGAGAAGGTTGCAAGAACCCTGATAAACAAGCTGGATTAATGCATTCTTTACTTTCCCAGCTATCTTTCAGTTCCATTACTTGAGGGATGATTCATTCCAGATTTCAAAACATGTTTTTCAAAATCTAACGCAAACAGTTAACGTGATCGAAAAGGTATTTACCCAAGATGAGTCCAACCATAGAACTCAGATAACCAGTGCCACTGCCAAGATTCAGAAATGACAGCCCTGGTTGCAGATCCAAAGCTTCCATCACCTCAGAGTAAATGCACGGTGCTGAGAGATGAATATTCCCATGTTTCCATGCCAAGTCCTTGTAGGCATTGTCTTTGAACTCTTCCAGGTAGTAATCTGCTCGATCAATGGCTCGGAAGGCCTGTTCCACCAGTTCTGTCCTGATGTATTGTGCTTCCTTCAGGTTATCAATTAATTCATCGTTATCTTCTCCCGCACTCACTGCGCCTCCCATCTTCAGCAGTCGCCTATAGACACTAAAAGTAAAAGAATAAAGGAAGGTGAGGAACAGAACATGCACTTCAACGCTAAATTATGCTGCTGTGTGTGAAGTACTTTGAGAGAGACCTTTTTGTACTCCCAAGGACCTCAAGCACTGGAAAAACATCACCAGCAGCACTCCCAGCCCCCATTCCAACAATGGAAAACAAAATGCAGCAGATCTGGCATCCTGTACCTGACACTGGTGGGGGGGTGGGGGGGAAAGAAAATCACAATAGGCAATTTCAATGTGCAAGTTCTGTCTTCAAACGCTCCCAACATTTTACCAGCATGTCAGCTTTTCCACTGAACTCTTTTATATAAAGGATTATTCCAGCTCCTGTGCTCGTAGGTCATTTTTCACTGCAAGCCCAACCAACAGTGCAAGTTTGGCCTGTCTGCCAGAATTCTGGCCACGAGCAGACTTTCTATCTCTAACAGCATCAATTAAGACACAGGCAGCAAATCCAAAAAAATCTCAAATTACATTTTCTTTGAACGTGCATCAGGACGTTGATTTCACAGAGGTTAAAAATGCCCAACAACTCTGATGCATCAACCTTGCTTACTTTAGCAAATAAATGCACTTTCACATAACTCATCTCTAGAGTTTGAGCCACCCCCATTAGTAAAGCACTTAATGATACAGTAACTGCAGAGAGAATTTCCACTGCAGCCTGTGGAATTTCTTAGGTCCTCTTAAGCCCTAGATGAGCTCACCTTCAATTTGGTAACTCCTGAGTGACAGAGATCTCTGAATTACAAACACTTCTGACTTCACTGACACCATCATGGACCTATTCAGGCTTGTGGGTGTGGGGTAAGGAAAGGAAACACTTTCCTTGACTGTGCATTACACTACACATGATTATAATACTTCATGTAGTTAAACAGCTACAGGTTTTAAAGGAAAAGGTATGGGGGGAGAAGAACACAGAAGAACTTATCACTCAGAATTAACCTAGCTCTTCCCCCTTTCTCATATCTTAAGAAAAAAAAATCCTTTCCAGAAAACCCATGATTCTTTCAATGCATTTATTTACAATGCCTTTCCCTGCTCTCAATAATAACCACAGAAGCAGCAGCTTTGGAGTTCATTCCTGGGATCAGAAGATCTGCCTACAGCAAAATTGCTGGGAGTTTATTTGTTACATTCAGCAAGAGCAAATTACAGACTTTCATTTTCAGAGGAAACACAGAAAAGCTGCAGGACTCCAAGGAAATTTCACAGTTATTCAAATAACATGCCATTCTGATTACCTGGAGAGGCACACAAAACAGGATATACTTAGGCAGGGACCTCGAGCCAGTTTTTAATCCATTCATGCCTCAAAATACATCAATCCAGTTCAAGACCATTAATAAAACTTGAAATAAAAAGCCACCCCTCTCCTTTCGACAGTGACTCCTTCATTTTCTCTCCGAAAAATGACTGTGTTTTATTACTTCACAGTGGAAACACATCAAGTTGAAGGCTCAGGTGGGTTAATCTACCAATTATTTTTCCCCCCTCCTCTTACATACTTAAAACCTCTGTGCATTTGCACATGTAGGGTTACCTGAATCTTTGTTCAATTCACTTTATGTAGCATTCCACATTAAAACACTCTCTTTTCTGAGGGTATTGATTCCCCTGAGTTTCCTCTACATATTTTTGTTCTTAGGCTTGCTTATTTCTGCTACTCTTTCTGCTACTAAAAACAAAAAAAAAACCCTGATTTTTAGGTTTAAGCTAAGAATACAAAGTTGTGCCTTTAACAATGTTCCACTTTGGATCCCCAATAAATTCCTCCTGACGTACGTGAGCCCCACTGGGGCAACTGGTCTGACCTGGTTTTAGCTCAGCTATATGAACAAGTGTTTTTCCATGTTCTACAACATGGAACACAACAACAACTGTTGTCTGAAACATTTTTTTAACGAGATCAAGGAACATCCGAGCTGTGACAGGCATAAAAAATAATCACTTTTACTGGACATTAACTTAGTTCCAATAAAATTACTGTTTTGTGTGCAGAACTCCTGACATTCAAATTCCTCTTAATGTAATCCTATATATTTCTTTAACTTTGCGGGAACCAAGACTGTGGGTAGGGCTTATTTTTAACAAACTTTTCAAAAGAAAACCCTCACCCTCCACAACGAGCCCAGCTGGAATTTTTACGCAAAACCAAGAGATTTCCACAAATCTGAGCCAGGGACAAAGTTCACTGCGCAAAAATTCGCTGCTCGCACAACACGGGACACCAAACCCAGCAGCGTTTTGGTGCTGAAACACCCCCCGGGGAAACACCCCCTTTAAGAAAAACAAAACAGAGAACGAGCAAACGAAAAAGCAGAAAGCGAACGAGCAGGGGAGAAAACAAACAAACAAAAAGCAGAAAACAAAAACAAACAAAAAGCAGAAAACAAACAAAAGCAGAAAAAACAAACCAAGCAACCGGCCCCACGTGAGCAGCTGCGTTCAACCTGAAACCGAATCCTGGGACTGGGGCGATCCCTCCCTCCCGCTGCAAACAAACACCGCCGGGGGCTCGGGGGACGGCTCCGAACAATGCACGGGGCGCACAAACGCAATTCCTCAGCCCCAGCAGGTCTCCAGGGCAATCCCTGCTCTGCCATAACGCGCTGCAGGAAGAACAGCAAAGGTGGGGTTATTTAGTGATTTAATAAGAAAAGAGGCACCTGAGCGGCCGCGGTTCGGCTCCGCTCGGCTCCGTTCGGTTCGGTTCGGCTCCGCTCGGCTCCGTTCGGTTCGGCTCCGTTACGTTCGGTTCGGTTCGCGTCTTTTCGGTTCGGTTCGGCTCCGCTCGGCTCCGTTCGGTTCGGCTCCGTTGGTTCCGTTCGGTTCGGCTCTGTTCGGTTCGGTTCGGCTCCACTCGGCTCGGTTCGGCTCTTTTCGGCTCCGCTCGGCTCACCCCAGGCCGGCGCGCTCGGGGCTGTAAACACTGCCCAGCTGAGCGCCGGCCGCGCCACTGCGCACGCGCGGCGCGCACCACCGCCGCGGGCTGGGGGGGGCGCGTGGAGCACACCACTGCTGTGCCCGGCGGGGGGCGCCGTGCGGGCCGTACCATGCAGGGCCGGCGCGGGGGCGCATAGGGCTGTACCACTGCGGGGCTGGGTCCGTGCGGGAGCCCCAGGAATGGATCCCGGTGGGATTCTCCGTCAGACATGGGGAAATCTTCCAGCAGCTTCTCACAGAACACACCCCTGTACCCCCCACCCGCCCCCTCTGCCAAAACCTCGCCATGCAAACCCAATGCAACGTACCAGGAGCAGACACAGACTAGGAGTCCCTTCTGTCCCGTCTGTCCTGGGAACATCTCCCAGTCCCAGTGTGGCTGGTTTCCCCCAGCTCTGTGCCCTTCCACCCTGCCCTAATTGCCTGTTCCCAGCACGGGGCTGCATTTCCACGCCTGCTGCTTCAGCTCATCGCCCAGTTCCCCCAGTCCTTTAATGCCCACGGTGACAGCACAGTGCCCCAGCTCCCGCTGGGATCAGGGCTTCCCAGGGCGTGGGATGGGATAAGAGGAGCTGGGGAGATGCCAGTCAGAGCTGGCACACACAGTCCTGGCGCTGGAGCTGAACCAGGTGTTCTGATATTAGTCACTCTTGGGGAAAAAAATCATGGGAACTTAATGAAAAAAAAATAAAAATTGCTGTGAGAACTGGTTGATATTCTTAATTTTGAGCCTGTGAACACCTAACTTGGGTTACATCCTTGAATTTTGTTTGTTGGTTTGGTTTTTTTGCTGCAACCATAAATGCCAGGTATGAATTTACTGAGGAGTGAGCGAGCGAGATGCAAATTCACCTGATTCCAGGGGCTGAGCCTTGAGGAAACATGGAGTATTGTAAAACTTCACAATATCTGACTTGCCATTTGTGTAGTGAGGGATCCCCTAACATGATCTGAGTGTTAGGCATGTAATTTAAATTTTACCTACCTGTGTAAGCTCGCTCAGTGGTTGTAACATGGCAGGGCCTGACAAGACAAGGGGGAAAGGTGTCTCCTGTGACCTGAGAGAAGTTATCCTCTAAAAGTGTGTGTTTGTCTTCATGTTTAAGTGACCCACACAGCTCTGGCTGAGGCTGCAGATCAAACAAAATTGTCTGGACTGGCCTTAGATCTTCATGGACTCCATACTACACACAGCTGCAAAATGAGAAGGAAGAACGACATCTAAACAAGAGGCTTCTTGATTTAAGTTGTCTGGAGATGAATTGTGGAAAAAAGGCTGTCTTGGCAGACACAACAAGCCCGCAGTGAGAAAAGAAAATAAGAATTACTCTGGTAAATGAGACTCAAATAGGAGAAAGTGAATCAGCATCCGAGATTTATTTATGCTTTAAGGTGATTATCTCAGCTGCCTTCATTAACGTGGTAACAGCAGACTCTGCAAACAGGCAGCGGGGTAATTCTGTAGATGTCTGCACTTTCATTTCGCAGAAGACAGCTGCCTGGGAGAATGGGATTATTGGTGGGAGAGCGAGCACTGAAACTCCTCCTTGCTGATTCAACCAAAACAGGCCGTGGTGATTGTGCTCGGGCACAATGGGCAACGCAGCGGAAACTGCAAACGCAGGACAGACAAACTCCTTGCACGTGTGATTCCAGGGCTTCCATTCAGCACCTGCTTCCTTGCCACTAGCATCACTTGAAAAATAGCAGTTGTTTTGTGGGTTGGGGGAGTTTTTTGGAGGGTTTTTTTGTTTGGTTGGTTTTTGGTTTTTTTGGTGCAAAATTTATTAAAATGAAAGCTGGGTAAAAAAATTCCCTGTTATTGCTAGAGCACCTGCAGTGTAGGCAGAGCATGCAGGGGCAAAGGGGAGCACTGCTTGTGCCTCTCTCTTGCAGCAGCGAGTCCTCAAGAAGCCCAGAAAGCCCTTGAGGAATGTTTTAGGGATTCCCAAATACCCTGTGCTCTCCCAGGTGTATTCATGAGTCCTCCCAGCCCTAAACTGCCAAGACTGATGAGACTTGCAGCCTCTCTGTTTCTAGACAGAGAATTGCAGGAATTAACCAGGAGAAACACACAGGGAAGATACTTACCCACTGCAAGTTCCCACCTCACAGCACCCCAAACATGTCAGGGACACAATGATGGGGAGGGAACAGCTAAAAGGACACAGTCACCCCCAAGAGACAGGTTATTTTCTGCACATGCACATCTCTGCTGCACATGGCCCAAATCTCTCATGCCAAGCTGTGCCTGTGCAGACATATTGTCACTGCTCCATGGGCTCATCCCCAGCTTCCCACTGGCACCCCCTGGTTCTGCTCCCCCAGGGGCTTTTTCCCACCTACCTTCTTCGAAAATGTAGTTATTGCTGAGAACACCTCCATGTATGTCATAGCATTGGGCTCCAGCTCTGGAGGAAGCCAAAAATTGTCTGATAAAATTGCAAACCAACCCCCCCCCCCATTTAGCAAAACAGAATGGTTGGCTATTTCATGATTCCGTGGGTCTCCAGCTGCCAATTCTTCGTGCTCCTTCTTTCCCTGCTCTTTAAAAACACCTTCCTTTCCTCCTTAGAGCTCACCTGGGGCTTTGTTAGCCAGGAGTTACAGCCAGTGGTAGATGAGTAACTCACTGCTGCCTCTGTGCTGTCCGTAAATGAGTGTGGGCAGCTGCCCCCGGCTTGGAGAGCCCCCGCAGACTCCGGGAGTGGGAAAAGCAGAGTGAGAGTGGGAAAACGGAGCCTGCTGGCACTTAAATCCCAGCGTTACTCTCTCCCAGCCGTGTACCACAAGGTGTCCCCAGCAGTACAGGCATTGCTGCGGGGTTCGGAGGTTCCACCTCAGCATCTTCTCCGGGGCTGGGGCAGGGCAGGGACCCTCACAGGCACAAGTACAACCTCTGTCCCTACTCTCAGCAACCCCCAATCTTACCAGAGAGAACCAAGTCTCCATCCTTTGTTAGCTGAGATAATTGCTGATTTTTCTTGCCTTTCCTTGTCTCTATTTCCCTGTGTTTTACAGTTTCCTCCTTCATTTTTTTCAAACCAATTTCCTTAATAAGCATTTTTGAAACACCGGTCAGAATGAATTAACTTCTGAACCCTGTCATAGTGATGATCAGTCAAAATGGGATGTTTTTATTTATTTGGAAGATCAAATAGTAAAATGCATTTTAGCCCCCAAGCCAGGGCCCAGCAGCCTGAGCTGACCTGCAGCCTGGCAATACAGATGGTTGTTTAAGTCAATGGGGTAATTAGTGAGTGACAGGATGACTCACATAAATTAAGAACTGGGGGAGCATTAAATCACAGGGTTATATTTTCCCATTTTTTCATTTTGTAAAATATGCTGTGTTGCCTTTTCTGGTCAGTTTGGCACTGTACCATTTCCATATGCAAATACTACTGTGCATATGCACACATATGCATATATGCAAATACATGCAGACTTATGCATTTATACTGATATTATTATTAACACACCGACAGCAAATCACTTGAGATCCTCCTGCCCATGCAAGGGAGGGGTGTGTGTGTGTGTGTGTGTCTCCTAAAGCTATTCTCTTGCTTCACTTCATCCAAGGGCTCTGTGAGCAATTGCTGAAGCAAGGGGAAGAGCATATGTCTTGATTTCCACTGTATTGCACTGTGCATAACCACTGCCACTTGGAAAAAGGACTCGTAAAGACCTGGATTCATCTCACTTAAGTGTGTCATTAAAGGAAAGCAGCCAGGAGTTGGTGCAGCCTGGCTGAGAGTGGGAGAAGGTGTCACCAGAGATCCGTGACAGTGAGGACGTGGAGCAGCGAGGTGCTTCATCTTTTCATGGTGTTGCCAAGAGAGTCAGTGAGCTCTGCTCTGTGCCCTGTCTCTCTTCTGTCTCTGCCATGATTTAGGGCACGACTGCCAAATAAAAATCTCAAAAATCAAGCTTTTCATATTTATGGGGCAAGAAAACGATTCCTGGGTCTTTTAAATGATTCATGGATTAAATAAAATCAATGGATTTTATGGATTCATAAATAATAAAAATGCAACCAGACAGCAGCCATATCACACTTCCCTGCTTTGCCTCTGGCAGTTCTACATGTCCTGCCTGCAAACTCACCTGTCGGGCTGAGCCAGCCACATTTGTCCATCTCCCCATAAAGACTATGGGGGCTTATCCGTCCTGCTCAGAAGGCCTTTCCAAAACCTCCCTACTCCAACAATAAGAAAACATCTTCAGATTTCCAATGGGAATTTATTCCTGGCCAAGATGCACCTTATTTGATCTCCTACCCATATTATCCTCTAACATAAATCATTCCCCTTCCTCCCACCCTGAATGTATTTATGAAGAGTAATCATATCCCCTCTTAACCTTTGTTTTTCTAGGCTAAACAAGCCAAGCTCTTTTAATCTCCTCTCCTAAGATAGGTTCTCTGTTCTGCTAATCACTCTGCCAGTCCTTCCCCGCACCTGTTCAAGGATAAATTAATCTTTTCTTTTTCCAAAGAGAGGTCCCAGAACTACACACAATATCCCACACGAGATCATACCAACACTGGTACTGGTATTTCTCTGCATCTACCAAATAAATGCTTTGTTGCATGCAACTTTTTACACAGCAAATGGAAAATAGATGCAAATCCATAAGCTAATAACCAGAACACAACCTTAACCATAACAGAACCTTACTCAAGGAGATTGCTATTTTACTTGAAACAGGCACTCTGCTGTTTTGCATTTGTGGGTCCAGGTCCTTAGCAGGCCTTTTTCAGTGGTTTTCCACATTTCATTTACCCCAGA